CTATGCTCAGTTCTTAAAGAAACATAAGATACAGAGGATGATTGATTTGTAATCTCTATGTATTTTTTAATGTCAATGGTTTTGACCAACCCAAAATCACAGCTGCAGAGGATGAGTGAACATTATTATCTTGATTTTAGCTTATTAAAATATTTGAGTCTTTTTACTAAACCCTTTATCAAGTTCAAGAGCAATAAAACTCAATATTCGTTATTTGATGATTAAGATCTATATATATAGTGAAAAATCTAACGTGTGCTCTATTGTAACGGTTTCTTGCAGTTTCCATCACATGATCATGATCAGTAGTAAAAATGTTCTGAAAATGGAATCAGTTGATGTGAGCAAGAAGAGGAAATTTCAGACAGATCAATCGGAGTTATCTTTATTACCTCTTTCGAAACATGTTTGTTTTGACAATGTCGCTTGTTCCGATAATAGCAATGGCATCTCGGAGCTTGATTCAGAGTATTCGATGTCTTATGTGAGATCAACTTCAATGGAATGTGAAAATGAGATTGAGATGAAAGAAGAATCATCTGGATCTTGCGGTGAAGACAAGATGATCTCTTTCGAAAGCCATCTCGATTTCATCTATGGCACGCAGAATCTAGAGGAATTTTCGGAGAAAGACATTGAAAACATTCTCTATCTCGATGAAAAAGACGAGGAAGAAGAAGCTAATGGATGTAGTAATGGTGCTAATTATGTTCTGTCCTCTGGGAGATGGACTGTTAACCAAGGTAAATAACCGGTTTCTTGGCTTTTGTCCATATACCGAAACATCGGGGAATTCGCTAACTTGGTTTCATGAGTGCAGATTCTACTGAGCATGACACAAAGAAGCCTACAATTGATCAAGAATTCGAGCAATACTTCTCAACGCTAATGCTATGACGAAATGATGTTAGACTCAAAACATATATGAAGATGTATATAGAGCTGCATTGATTCTGTGATCTCTTATCGTTTTGATTCTTGTCAATCATAAAACCAACATCTCAAAGTGATTAGAGAGGTTCTTTGTAATGTTTGTAAACAGGATACATGTAATAGTAGTTGGATATTCATGTCTCTTATAAGAACAGAACACTAAACTCTCACACTATCAGGAGAAACTTGCTACCTCAAGAATATGAGCA